CCCTCGGAGGCAGCTGTGGCCCCTCCACCAGCTCCCTTGGACCAGCCTCTGCACAGAGCCCTGGGCCCCTTGGCAGGTGAGGGCCACTCTGCTTCCTCTGAAGGCTCTAGGGGCAACCTCTCGGATTTTGTTGGTTTCCTGCAGGATCACACTCCAGGCAAGAAGAACCCCCCCTCTCTCGCCTCCCCACCCTTTGACACAGAAAGCAAACAGATCTTGAACACCCGATGCCTGTGGAAGCTCCCCTCCAAGACCTCAAAGCCTTGCTCCTGAAAGGACAGGGAAGTAGGCTGTTTGCTGCAGCCTGGCTGGGGCCCGAGCTGCATCACATAGAGCCCAGGGGGCTCAGCCTGGGGGGAAGTGGGAGCTACTGAGAAAGCCTCTTCCTAATTATACCTGCAGTAACACTGGGGATGTGCACTAACCTGGTCCTATGTTAAATGCTTTACCCACCTCATTTCATTTAATCCTTGAAACAACCCCCTGTGGGGATATTTTATCCCCAATTTACAAAAAAGACTCAAAGAGGTTAAATAACTTGCCAAGGCCACAAGACTGGTGAGTAAGGTGACTGAGGACTCAATACCACCTTCCAGTTTACCAACCTATTCCATTTACATGCTAACACTCCAGGAAACCCTGTGAAATAAAGATAATTCTCTCCATTTTACAAAGGAAGAAACTGAGGCACTAAGGCGTTTGGGTTGTTTTGTGTTTAAGCCCAAACTCAGGCTCAGTCGTCTCCCACCCAGCACAGGTCCCAACCCAAAGGGTCTGCTGGCACTGGAGGAAGTGGAAGGTCCTACCACACTCCCATCCCTGTCTCCCCAGGGAGGCTCTCCCAGCACTGAGACCTCCCGCTCCCTCCCCCACTTACCCTGGGCCCCCCTGACATGTGCCCTGTGCCTGGCTCTCCAGGAAAGTGGGCACGCAGTCAGGCAGAGCCCACTGGAGTGGGCACTGCCTGGCTGTCAGGGGCAGGCAGTGAGCTGTCTGGACCCCAAAGCCCCCGGCAGGGCCCTGGGGCAGTCGGTGCAATGAGGCTTCTCCTGAAGTCACAGTACCGCACCCTAGAGCTGCAGCCAGGCTGGCAGGCAGCAGGCTGTGTCTGCCCAGGCTCTGGAGCTCACTCCCTGCGAAACCTCGGGGGCAGCACTGAAACTCAAGTCTGTGTCCTTACCCACACATGAGGATGCCCCCCCAAATCACTGTTCCCGTATGACCAGCCATCTCCAAAGGCAAAGGCGGAGAACTCAGGCGCCCCTGCCCTTCTGGCTCAACCTCCCTGTGGACCCTGTGCTGCAGACCACAGGCTGGGTGGGGTGGGGATCCTTGGAGAGATCTCACCCCCTCCCAACCACCACTTAGGCCCGAACAAGTCCATACATTGCAGACGCTCAGGGTAACCTCGCCACACACCAGCTAAGACCCAGCCCTGAGTACCCACTTATTATAGTATTAGCCCAACTTCCTGGAGAACTTTAAAAACATGTTTTTCTTACAAACCCTTCTAGGAAGTAATTTCAATAATAAAATACCATTGGGTTTTTATAAGAGCAAAACACTGCACCAGCTAAAACATCCATCCACAGAAGTGTAATGGGGGTCAGCAGCCTCCCCAGTGCTCAGCCCCGTGAGCAGGAGCCCGTTTCTCCACCGCATGGTTTCAGTGGGACGGACAAGCACAGGGCTCACCACCACGCTGACCCCACCAGGGAGGCCCGAGGTTGTGGAGGAGGGTCTCCCCTCCCTCTGCCTGGGGTGACTGGGTCACCTCAGAAGGCACAGCAGAGAGAAGATGGAAACCAGATCCTGCAGGCGTCACGGAGCCACTCAGGTCGAACCAACCCTGAAACTCACCCCACCTCTGGACTTTCCAGTTTCAGGAGCCAAAACCCTCCTCTCATTGTTTAGAACAGTTTGAATTGGGTTTCTGTTACCTGGGCTGTAAACACTCCCCCCGCAGAGCCCGGCCCATTCACTGCGCAGTCTACAGAGGTCAGCGTGACCGCGGACAGGCACCCGGCGGGGTGGCACCCGCAGGAAAACGGCTCTGAGACATATTAAGTGAAATTAATTGTAGAATACTCTGTGAAATACGCTTCCCACCGGTGTGAAAAACACGCTTGATGGGCATGGACGTTTTCTGGAGGGGCACTTAATGGTGGTCCCTCTGGGGAAGAGGAGACATGCTTTACACTCTCCAGTGCTTAAATCACTTTTACTTATAAATTTTAAAAAGACTAGTTTAAAGGTCGTTTGAGGTGATAAAATTACAGACCAAGGTGAGAATTTATTTAGGTGCTTATTAAAGCAGGCTTCAAAGCAGAATGAAGAAATAATTGTCTCAGGCCATTGTCAGCGCTCAGCCCTCTGCCTCCGAGGCTGGGAGCTCTAGAGCTGCTGACTTCGCCACAGGAGCGGCCACTTAAAGGTGTCCCTCACTCTTTCTTCCTCCAAAGTCCCAGGTCTGCAGTGCCCACTTCAGGGTTTCTGGAGGCCCCCCCCGGAGGCCCCCAAACATTTTCAGAATGAACATGCCTTTATTGCAGTCTTTGGGGGGAAAGCCAGGCTGTGCTGGCTTTAGGAGCTAAAAAGGCCCTAAAGGTGTGCAGATCTCTGGAATTCTGGAGCGCGCCCAAATGAGTGAGGACAGGTCTGCCCGGGAAGGCCGGGCAGCACCCTCTCAGACAAGACACCAGCACCGAGCAGCACCGAGCAGCACCTCGGCCAAGCTCCGTTACCAGGGACGGGTCAGCACAGTTTAGAGGCAGATGGCCTAAAAACTCTGTGGCTGATGGACAGACCCTATGACTCTAGAGCTGAAAAGGTCAAGCTGTGAAGGTCACACAGCCATCTCACTCACCCAGTGCAGCTGAGGGCACTGGACTGCTGGGTGACAGGGCTGAGTGCCCAACCCCTGGGCAGGCCCTTCCCAGGACAGTCCTTGGGTGCTGGGACTACTGCAACAGACCCTCCCCTTTCTCTGTGCCCCTGTAGTCCACGTTGAGGGTGCTGACCAGAGACCAGGTGGCCCCTGCTCCTGGGACTGAGGCCCTCCCTCCTCCGCTGGCCTCTGACCCAGCCTCTTCTGGGGGCTCTCCCCTGGCAGTCCCTAAGGTCACGATCGCCTACACTCATGTGCATGCCCATTACTGTCCCAGAGGCAGCCCTGGCATGGTATCTCCTGGAGAATAGTACGCGCCCGAGTTCTCACTGCCCCGCACAGAAAGCCCTCTCACTTTGCAGAGCAGTGAGCCAGGGCGCAGAGGCAGGGCCTCCAGTGCAGGGTGGGGCTGAGCTCTTAGGGGCCACACCATGCTCTTCCCCACAGGCCCCGAAACAAAGCCCAGCGCACAAATCCAGGTATAGAGGCGGGGATCACCACTCTCCCTTTCTTTAAATGCCTGTCCCCGCCAGAGCCCAATTAACAGGACAACCTTCAGGAAACTGTCTCAGGCTTGCCCTCCTGTGGTTTTGCTCAGCAGGAGCCAACCAGAGCTTCAGAATTCAAAGCTGGTGGGCACCAAACCTCCCATTTTATTTGCTGGTACAGCCTGAATCCTTGGCAATAACTTACCTTTCTCCAAGTCTCAGGTTTGGGGCCAAAAATGGCTTCCTCAGAGCTGCTGGTGACTGGATGAGCTTATGAGTAGGTGCTCTGAGCCCTGTGTTCCGGGTTCTTTACCCATTAATTTGTATTGTCATTCGTGTGGGGACACTGCGCAGGCTCATGCGTCAGCCTTGCCCTGCCAGCAGTGGGAGCCCCTGGAGACGGGTGAGCTGCGCAGTGGCAGGCATGGCCAGGGGCATGACAAGGATGGGCGGGAGAGGGTCAGGGATCTGGGAGGCCTGGGTCAAAAACGTGGAAGGTCTGAGGGCATGGCCCAGAGGTCCAGGTCCTGCAGAGGCCTGGACAGGTGCCGAGTCTGGTGGCAGGTGAACAGCATTCAGTCAAGTGAGGACAGTGGTGGGTTGTGTGGGTAGGGGCACAGAGCCTGACAGGAGCGGCCTGGGAGAGAAAGGGGGAAGGCAAGAGGGTGGAGGCAAGCTTTTGGGGATGGGTATGTGTGCGATGTGGTGAGAGGGAGAGAGGTAGGAAGCATAAGCAAAGACCCTGAAACTTTAACGCGTGCATGGGGGGCGAAGAGGGGAAGGGCAGAGGCCCCACCATGGCCTCCATCAGTCTTAGAGGACAGGGGTGGGTGGGGATCCAGGGTAGCTGGGTGGGGAGTGACCAGAAGGCTCCCTGGGCCCTGGTCAGACAGAGCCCATACTTGTTGGAGACGCGATGTGTGCAGCCCTCATCCTAGGCTTCTTTTCTATTTTCATCCAGCTGCTCAGAGCCAGATGAGGTGGTTAAAGTTGGCCCCAGGGTTAAATAAACTAATTGGAAAACAAACCCAACTCGAGACTTCCGTGTGAACTGGGCTATGACCTGTGAAAAGGCTTGTATGGGGTCCATCCACCAGGTCAGCCTGGATAATGGGACTGCAGGAGTGGCCAGGAGCTGCTGGTGGCCACATGCTGGCAGGGAGGGCATGGGGCCATCCACTTTCCCCGGGGCAGGCTGGCTGAGAGGTACCTGGTGAGGTGGGCACGCCACTAACTCCCGCACAGCTCATGCAGCGAGACCAGAGTCCAACTAGGGCCCCAAGCTATTTAGCCTGGACTATACTGCCTGGGGCCAGACAGGGCTAACCTAAACCAGCATTCCCTCCAGGCCTCCAAAGTGCTTCTAGCAGGCAGAGCTACACCACCAGCCAGCTTGTGCCAGTTGCAAGCTCCACACAGAGGATGACTGAAAGGGGCTCAGAGGATCTGAAAGGCCACCTGATAAAACGTACTTCAGGTTGTGTCAACGATGGAAGGCCTTTACCATGTGCCCTCCTGGCCCGTCTTGCCACACCCTGCCCAGTGGTTCCCCAGGCAGCCGAGTTCCCCACTGAGCTGTTTATGCCATCTTGATGGGACCAAAACAAGAACCACAAAACAACAGCATTATTATAAACATATATTCCATAAAAGAGTCTGGCAGTCAAAGAAAAAGCATCACACTTCCTAGAAACGCAAGCATTCTTCTTCCCCTAGTCTACAGAAAAAATTGTAAAAAAGGAAAAAAATTTATAACAATATCATCAACAAACACCCACCAGTCGACACCACACCAGCGTGTACACCGGGCCAGTCAGTGAAGGCAGCACTCAATCCCTGAACGACAAGGACAGAACTGGCACAAGTCCAGAGAAGCAGTGGAAAGGAGCCCGCCCAAGCTGCACAGGCGCCCGGCTGCCCACGGGGAGCTCTGGATACAGGACAGACTTCATTTCCATCAGCAAGCCCAGAAGAGCCCTGGCAGGAGGGGTGGACGGGGCAACCACAGCTATCCCGGTTGGGGGGAGGGAGTCACCCCAGACGTTAGCAACAAAATGTCCATCCCAAGCTGCTTCTCCATGGCCGCAGGCCAGGGGGGTGTGGTCGGCAGAGCTTCTCTGCAGGGAGTGGCAATGCCAGGCTGGCCAGCCGGCCCTCGGCATGCGGCCTGGAGGAGCCCTGGCTGAAGGTTTCGGGCGGGCCATCCTGGCTGGGGCTCCCTGGCCTCGCCGTGGAGGGACCAGTATTCAAGTTCCGGGTGACGGTTTCAGTAGCACCAAGACCAGAAGACTGCGCGGCCAAGCTGGGGAGGGCAGTGGGTGTGGGCGCTGGGTGCACCTGGGCTGTCAGGGATGGAAAGCAGAAGCTGACTGGGCAGGTTCTGCAGACACGCGAGGGAACTAAAGGGATGGCTTCGGTCCCAGAGACAGTGTAAGGCTGCTTAGAGAACGCCCGAGGAAATGCAGAGATGGTGCGAGAACATTCCTGCTCCTATAAATAAACTATTTACACACTTTAAGAAAAGGAGAGAGCGCTCTCAGAGAACCATGCCCACGGTCCCTCGTGCCTTCAGGGGGTAATGCTGTGGAGACCGCAGGCAGCTCTTGGAGGGGAGAACAGAGGCCAGGCACCCTGCACCCAGCCACGCACTGGCTCAGGCTCACTTCACTTGGACATGGCTGAGGATCCTGTAGCCCCCGACAGCCTCCGAGGTCCACTTGCTCCCCTCCCCTCCCTAGTCACAGGCAACACCCCTGCGCTGATGGGAGAAGCCTTGTCCACACCTGCTGGTCCCTTGCCCACATCCTGCTCACAAAAGACATGGCTGCCCTCCAGGCCAGCACCAATGTCACGAGTGGTGAGGAGGCCGGGGCCCCTGCAGACACACTGGGCTCCAGGAGGACAGGGTCAAACCCTCCTTGCAGCCACAGGAGCCGATAGTCCCTTGGTCGCCACCCCCACTTAAACACATATTCTGTCTCTGGGGAGACCCCTGCAGGGATCCTGATCACAAGTTCCTTCAGTAGAGAGGGGGCTCTGGGTCCTCAGCACCAGCAAGCAGGCTCGGAGGTCACGTAGAGCTGATGCTGAAGGTGGTGCTGCTGCGGGTGGGGCGGAGCTGCTCTCCCTCTGGACGTGAAGTTGACAACAGTGAAAGGCTCTGGCCTCCACGGCGTGGCTCAGCTCTGCTCGCTCCCCTCTGCTCCTCAGAAGTGATGGCCAGCCTTCACTGCCTCGATGTCTGAGATCAGGGTCTTTGCCAGGAAGATGCCAAATATCTGAAACCGAAGCCAGCAAAGGCGGCAGCCGTCAGCGTGGGAATGCAGGGGAGGGGCAGGCCCTGAGGGCAGGGGGATGTGGGTGCTGCACGCCATTCCCATCCCGCCCCACACTGAGGATGCAGTGAGAGTAACCATGGGGCATGTGGCAAAACAGGATCAGCCCACCAGTAAAAGTGAGTCCCGGGGTCCGTGCAGCTGAGTCCCTGGAGCACCAAAGGGGCGAAGAGCAGGCACCATAGAAGCAAACGGACACTGCCCAGCCTCTAATACCACTAGGCTTGCCACACATCATGGCTGGGACACACCTTGTGCCCGGGATTAAACAAACCAAAAACAGCCCAGGGTCACCCTGGCTGGTTCTGATTCCCAAAATAATAAATCCTGAACATTTCCTGTAAACCTGGATTCCACAATAAAACCAAGGGTACAGTATCTGAGGCTACATCCTGATCCTGGCAACGGGATAATCATGTGGGAGGACTGATGTTTTCTACCAGGGCAGACTAATGTGAATCTGGTTGGTCACCTTAGAAGTTTTACTCCACTCCCCTCTTAAATTCCTGTGGCATGTATTTGATGAGCTGGTCCTTCTGAAGTCTGATTCCTTTGTCTTCTTTTGCCAGTAAATTTTTTTTTTTCTTTTCTGGATGCTTCTGTCTCTCAGCCTTCCTTCGAGATCACTTACCACATGTCTGCTGAGTGAAGGTGGAGCCCATGGGTGGTAGCTGGAGGCTCCAGGGCCACCTCTTCAAGCAAGGCCAGAGACAAATGTTTTCTAAATGGTGTCTCCACACACAACAGCAGCTGTTCCCAAGGCTGCTAGGGGCTGCCGGCTTCTCCCAGGAGCTCTGGGCACACTGGGCAAACTCCTGGCTTCTCTGACTCCCAGCAGATACTGACCAGCCCGCTCACCCCAATCTCACTGCCCCCTCAGCCACCACCATCTGCCCACCTGTGAAATCTAGGTCAAATGACCAGCTGCAGCCCTCGAGGGGGAAGGGAACCATGAGAGCAGTGGGAACAGACCTGGAGCAGGGAGATGGCAATGAAGACGCCAGCCACGATGTAGATATTCCGTGGCAGCCAGCCTTCCAGCGCCTGGATGCAGCCTTTCGTGAAGATGAACTCGTCCCACTTGCTCTTCAGCTACAGGAAGACATCGCAGTGGCCTGAGCGCACGACCCACAGGACATCCTCACCCTGCAGAGGACCCCTTCAGGGAGCAGGGGGCCAGGTGCCGAGGGCAGACAGAACTCTCAGGAGGGACGCTGACCTGTCTGGGCCTCTGTCCAACCCTGGGCATTTTGCATCAATAACCTAACCGAGGCTATGGCCTTTAGCCCATTTCCGTGTGGCCTCCACAGATTTACAGATCAACCTGTGCAGCGCCTCCCCAGCCCACACGTGGAGAAGGGGGGAGATCCACTGCTCGGAGAAGGAAGCGTGTCTTTAAAGAGAGAAATTGGCAGAAGGAGGTCCAGCGTCTTTCAAGTCAGAGGAGTTGGCAGCAGAAGGAGGGGCAGTGTGTGTCCCTCAGTCCAGGTAAGCTTGGCTCCAGAAGCCAAAGCCAGCAGGGACAGTCACGAGCAATGGACACCATAATAAAACCAAGGCTGTCCCTGATTCTGACTGTGCAGGTCCCAACCCCTAGCAGAGGGTCAGTGAGCACACGGGGATCTCATCAGAGCACCCACACCCCGCCCTCACCCACCCTATATTCAGCAAGCAGCCTTGCCCTCATCCATCAGCCTCCACTGCGGCAACACTGACAGAAGAATTCATCTTAGTGGTGTTAGGGGCTGAATTGTGTCCCCTAAAACTCATGTTAAACTCCTAACTCCCAACACATCAGAATGTGACTATATTTGGAGACAGGGTATTTACAGAGGCGAAGCAATTAAAATGAAGTCACTGGGGTGGGTCCTAATCCAATATGACTGGAGTCCTGATAAGAAGAGATTAGGACTTCAGGACGCAGAGGGAAGACTATCTGAGGACACAGAGAGGAGGAGGCAGCATCTACAAGCCAAGGAGATGGGCCTCAGAAGAAACCAACCCTGCAGACACCTTGGTCTTGGACTTCTAACCTCCAAGGTACTGAGAAAATAAATGTCTCTGTTGAAGCCACACAGCCTGTGGTGCTTTGCTACGGCAGCCCGAGCACCTAACACAAGTGGCAGCTGAATTCATAACCGGGAAGCTGCTGTTGATACAGGCCCATCTCTGTGAAGTGGGGGCCAGTGCAGAGGACTTCAGGTTCCCAAACCAGAGGGCACTCCCTAGTGCCCATGGCCAAGAGGACTGCCATTCATAGCACCGAAGGCCACCAGAGCAAGGGCTAGGGTGGGAACTCACTTCGCCCCACAATCCCCATGGCCTGAAGTAAGCCCTGGACTGACCCACTCCTCCCGAGACCTGTCTTCCTCCTCGCTGTCACCTCTCCTCCAGAGGGCAGCTGGGCCGAGTCATAAGCTCCTGCAGCTTCATCCTGAACCCCTAAACAACAGACACCTTCTGGGGTTCCGAGGCATCTCCTTTAAAATGTAGTCTTTGTTCCCTAAAATGTCTGTCTGATCTCTTTTCACTAATGTAGCAACTGTGAAGTTCTGTGACCCCAGCTCATAGGGCTTGAAATCGCACTCATCGCTGCTCCTGAGAGCCCTGTTGCCAGCTCAGGCAGGGTGCATGGGGCTGGCCACCTCGTGCCCAGTTCAGATGGCACTTTTGAGCTCCATTTCCCCTAGTTCTCCCACTCCAATTTGTACTTGCACTAAATCAGGAAGCTGGACCACAGGGAACCAGAAGAACTCAGAGTTAAATGGAGCTCTCACCTGAGTCCTGACATCATATCCACACTGTGTGTTCACAACTTTTTGCTGTAAGAAAAGCAGAAAACATTAGTCATTTTTGTTCCCTTGAGAAGCTGGTGGTAGAAGGCTCTAAAAAAGTAACCACCAAACACCAGCAAACACCTGTACAGATCCCATCATAGCTCCCGTCCTTCAACCATGCTGCCAACTAACCTTTCACACTAGGCCGGGTGGGCCAACTGCCTGCGTGAAGGGCTAGACAGTAAGGATTCCTGGCTCATTTGTGTAGCAACTGTGCAGCTCTGTCTGCCAGTGAGGCATGAAAGCAGCCAGTGCCAACATAAAAACGACAGGCACAGCTACAGTTCAATAAAACTTGGATTATGGACACTGAAATTTAAATTTCATGTAATTTTCACATGTCACACAAAAATTACCCTTTTTTCATTTTCCACCATTTATAAATGGCTAAAACCATTCTTGGCTCGAAGGTCACACATAAAACAGGCAGCAGGCCAGGTCTGCCCACGGGTCAGCCTGCCACTCACTCCCTGTGCTGGGAGGTAAAGGCTACACTGGCCCAGGTTCACAGTCACAGTGGAGACCTCAGAATCTGGCTGTGCAATCAGCCAACCCGAGCCTCTCCTGTGCTGGGGAGCCCACCCACACAGCAGCGATGACGCCCTGGCCAGTCAGGGCCCGTGCTCAGCACCAGGCCCGTGATAACTGAACCAAGTTCTGTAAAGGGCTCATCCTGCTCGGACTCAGCTCAGGCAAACACTCAGGGCTCCTTCCCAGGTTTCTGAAACCCAAGGACCCGGGCTGTGGACTAAAACTGAAAGCAGGTGACTAAGAAAGAACAGAGTGGAATCTCTGCCACCCCCAGGGGGTCTGTACCCCCACCGCCCCTGTGGGCTTCTAACTGAGCATTTTCTCTAGAGAAGGGAGAGTGAAGAGGGCAGACCAGGGCTGGCTACATTCACAACATCGTGTGCAGGCACCCAAGTGAGAGCCCTCACGGAGGGGTGATGCTGGTTTCTCCTGCTCCACCGAGAACGCTAAAGCCAGGGTGGGCCATGCAGAAACATCCCAGAATTTATTTCTGCAGGATTTCGGGCTGCAGGAGCCCTGGGGCCGAGCATGGAAAGTAAGCCAGACAATCGTCTGTCTGCAGAGGAGTAGCAGCCCAGAGCACTGAGTCAGAACTGCTCGGCTCCAGGAAGGCTATGTGCTCCCCACCAGGGCGGCCAACTCACCGCGGGGTCCGGCACGCAGCAGGAGAAGGGCACGCCACACTTTTCACGGCTGTAGCTGGCACCACTGCAGTTGAAGTAGACATTGAGGTCCCAGTCTTCAGGGCCGTACGCCCCACAGCATTGGTTCTGTAATCACAAAGCAAGACCATGAGGGCTCTGGAGCCAGGCCTGTGGCCACTCACCACCAGGGTCAGTCTCAGGGACGTGGGGTCAAGTGCTCCCCTATCTATCTCACAGAGACACCAAAGTCCACCCCACTGGCCTCACATGCACAGAGATGCTGAGCAACGTGCCAGGAGGCCCTTTACTGAGGAGATTGTGCCATGATGACTCCTAGGTCCAACCCTCGGGGCTGGTTCCATGGTGCCCCAGCCTTGGCACAGGGTGGAGAGGCCCAACTCCAGTCCTTCCTCTGCCTGAAGTGCTCCCTCCCTTCTCACCCAGCCCAGAGTGGTGTCCTGAGGCATCTCCGCACATCAGATGCGGTCCTCTACTATCCCTCAGAGAACACCTCGTGGGCAGGATGTCTTCCTGCCTAACAACTTCCCAAGCTGGTCCCACCTACCTTTTCTGCTTCTTTATAAAAACCAGCAACTGAAGGCCGACTCCCCAGGGAAGAATTACAACTGGGGTGAATGGGACACAGTCAAAGCTCTGTCTTCTCCTGGGGTCTCTGCCAGCCCCCCCCCCCACTATTGGGTGTAGCTACAAAGAGAAGCCCCATTTGTCTGAAAGTATAAAAGCAAACATATGGAAAGCAGCGCTATGCCTGACGCGCCCAGTCCAGGAGCAGACCTCATTCTGCACTTGCCCTCCAGCTGACACAGGCAGGCACGGCAGCGATCACAGCAGACAGACAACCGGGATTTCTGGGGTTTTACTTCTAAGGTAAAACCCCATCTTCCCCACCCCCACCTCTCCATGATTCTAGCTGCTTTAACGACTACCTAATATTTCACCAGGAGGAGGTTCCATAAATTACTGAAAACCTCTGGGAAATTATATTTTTAAAAGGAAAGGAAGGCAATGGAGAAACTACAATGTCTTCTGGGCCAGTGGGGGAGGAGCCCCAGGCAGGCTTGACACCAGTGAGCCCAAGATGACATGAAGACGAAGAGAGAGGGGCTGGCAGTGCTGACAGGGCACAGTGAGGGACGTCAGAAAACGGCTGGGTCTAGGCGGCTTTCACAGACCAACACGGGTCACCATTAACAACACAGGAAGGTTCTCTGATCATGTGAGCGGGGTTTGGCTATATCCCATGATACACGAAATAAGGGTAAACAAGTTTTGGTAAATAATAAGAACACATCATAGTTATTTTTAATGTTTCCTAATTTATTTCCTTCTCAGAACTAAAGTGTTCCATATAAAAAGTTTCTGAGGAAGTAGGCTTTCTGGCAGAGCCCAGATCAAATTAGAGCCCTGCATGGGCCAGCGAGGTGGGGTGTGGGTTCCTCCCAGGGGAGGCCAGCTGAGGTCCAAGCCTCCAGGTACAGCCACACACGGGGCACAGAGGCCAGCTGGAGAAAAGGTCAGGCCTGCGACCACTTAAGACAACCCCTGGGGACTTGTTCCAGGGAGGCCGCATTCCTCTCATCTAAGCGGCTTCCTCCAGGAGCTCTGCCCTCTCAAACAGGAAGGTGAAAAGGTCCCGGGGAGGGACAGGAATAGCCTCAGACAGCGACTCACATGCCTTGGGGAAAAGCCCTGCCCCTCAGTACCCACAGTGCCCAGGGGACTAAGGCCACCTGCATGGCCAGGGCTGGAGAGGCCTGAGCCCCGAAGAGGGAAGACTGGGCTCTTGGGGGAAGGTGGCCGCAGGGACAGCAGGACTTCCCTGCCCAATCCAAATGGAGGGAGGGCACATGAAGAGCAGGCCTGCGCCGCCGGGCAACCACGGGCCGGCAAAGCTAAACGGACCAGCGGCGTGGCCCACGTTCCCACTAGCCTGGCTCCCTCCCGAGCAGCACACACGCTCGGCCCGGGAAAGCACGGCCTCATCGGGGCCGCCGGCGGTGGGTACTCACGGCTTTCTGCAGGGAGTCGATGAGGTTCTGCAGGTCAATGTCGTCCCGGTAGGATCGAATGTTGCTCTCGAAGAACTCCCGGAAGCGGTCCCGCACCCAGTCCTGGAATAAGAAGGCCAGCACCGCCACGGCCAGCTCCAGAAAGAAGATGAGCACGATGGTGCCGCAGAACTGGGGACGAGAGGAGCGGAGTCACCACCCCTCCCGCCCCCGGCCAGAGACCCGCAGCATCAGCTGGGTGATTCCGCGCAGCTCCAGCTCCACCTTGTCTGGAGAATGGAGACTCATCCCTACCCCCAGCGCTGCCCTCCTGGCCTGAGAGCTATGGGTGAGAGGATGAGACAGCTCCACGCCAATGTGTCGCCCGCTTCCTAGGAAGAAAACAGGCCCACACAGGCCCACAGCTTGGCTGAGGTCACTCAAATCACACGGGACACGTGAGTTTCCGGGCAAGGCTCCGGACAACCCTGGAGTGGTCAATGTTATCAGTGCCCAGTCCGCATCTGACAGTCCACCGCACAAAGCTGTCGCCAGAAGCACGGCTGCCCCTGGCCAGTGGTGGGGGCATTCTGCAAGGACCCACATAGCCTTAGGTCCACACGCCTCCTTCCCACCGTCATTTTCACTGGCCATACAGCAGCCTAAGATAGAGGGTAACACACACACAGAGGCCTTCCAAAATGGAATCTCCATCCACATAGACACAAGATACAAAATATAACACTTAAAAAAATTAGGAAAAAAACATGTATTTTGCTTTTTAAGTTAAGCTCAGGAATGAGGAAGTTTGATCTAACAAATTCAACAAACAACATGTTGCAAAACACAATTCTGTTTTCCCTATCAGGTGTTATTTAATTTTAACTGAATGTATTACAAAATGAATGTGTATCTAAATATAAAACTAAACTCTTGGTGACTTGCAGTTCTGCCAGCAAATTAAGGATTCTGCACAGCACACCAATACACCCTGGAGGAGGGAAATGATTTCCTAACGTTACTGACAACATCTTTTGATCTCAGCCAGGAAGGGCAAAGGTGAGCAGCAAATAAACAATTCCTTTAGAACTTGGGAGGGAAGGCAGAAAGGAAGGGGGGGGGGGGCTGGCCTGGGAGCAGCAGCCCCCTTCCCCTGGGAGCTGAAAACTAGAGGCGCAACTTCTCTTCTTCCAGGGATGGGGAGCCGGACCAGCTGATTGCTTCCTGAAATCTTACCATCCCGTGGGGAAGCAGGGTACAAAGGGCTGTCCCCCTACTACCACCACTGCTGGGGCCCAAGGAGGCCTCTAAGAGTTGCTACCAGTGAGTTCAGATAAGGTAAAAGCCTATGCAGCAGAGCCACCCCCTGCCTGTCCCCCAACGCCCCATCCCCAGGGCCACTCACAAACTTGAGCAGGCAGATGTTCTCCCGCAGGGCCCCCACACAGCCAGCAAACCCCAGTGTGAACATCACCACGCCCACCATCAGCACCAGCACCACAGGGTCGATTCCGTGCAGCCGGGTCACTTTGGTGAGGTCGGACAGCACCCCCTGAAAGAAGCAGAGAGCAGGACAGGATCAGCCTCAAAGGGAGTCACGGTGCCCTGAGGGGCTTGGGCTGTGTATAGAACTAAACTGAAGACAGGGTCCTGCCTTGGGAGGCTCAATCATCTCATTAAAAACCCAGGTGAGGGTGTGGTCCCTGCCCTCCTGCCCCTTAGAGGCCTTCTGCCCAGCAGATCCCTGTCCACCTCAGCTCCCCAGGCCTGCCCACGCAGGATTCCTGGCCTCCACCTTGGCTGTGAGCTCCTCCCAGACAGACCCCATGCTTCTTCTGTAGCCTTCAGGGTGCCTATGCCAGGCCTAGGGTGGGAGGGAGCCCTGAGGGGCCCTATCAAGGGCCCTATGCCAGAGCCTCGCCTTGGCTTCTGGACACCTGGCAGTTGACTCTGCACTGAATTCACGGAGAACACACTATCCTGAGAGGAATGGCTTCAGTATGAGCAGCCTTGTTGAAAACACCCTCCCCAAGGGGTCACAAAGGCAGCACTGTCCACACAACTCTGTGATGACGGTGGTGCTCTGTATCTGCACTGTCCAAACAGCCACTGGTCACATGCTATTGAGCATTTGAAATGTGGCTAGCGGAACTAAAGAAGTGAATTTTAATTTGTATTTCATTTTAATTAATTTAAATATAAAGTTGCATGTGGCTAGTGGCAACCAAAATGGACAGAGCGATTCTACGGGATTCAAAGGAGGAAGCAGAACACAGCAGCCAGACCAGGCAACCCCGCTGACCAGGCAGGTAGGTAACCCGGCCCAAGCGCCCTGCGGGCTCTGCTGGTTGAGCTGTTGCTGTTCTGAATGGCCACACGGTGTCGCTATGAGTCATGACTTGCGCCTGCTTCCAGGTCACTAGGACAAAGTGACACTGCACCTCATATCCTGTCCTTTAGGGGTTCATGGACCGCCTTGAAGGTGCCCAAACCTGGTGGCCTTAACAGACTCTAAGACCACGCCAAGAAAGCCCACAGATCTAGGCACTCCCGCCTCCCCCTTCTGGAGGCAAAGGGCTCCACTGAAGAGCGAGCTCACCTGAGCCTGAGGCTCAAGAGGAAGCTTTAGTTCCCACTGTTTCCTGCCCTGCCCGCTGGACCTTGTTCCTTCTCTCCATCCTCCCTCCCCAAGAGCTTAAAGATAAACCCCAGGGACCTACTTGTTCCCAGAGGCACAGACTGGGTCCAGAAGGTGGCCCCAGGCCTGCCCTGGACACAGCTGCAGACAAAGCCTGAGGGTGACTTGGGGCTTCGGGAACAGAAAAGAGGGTTCTCTGCACTCACAGAGCTCAAAAACCCAGCCAGCCCAGCACTGGTCTCTAGCAACGACCCGAGCATGGGGAAGCAGTTTTCATAAGTTCAGTAACTATTTCCAAGAGCTGGCTCTGTAAAGACTAATGACTATAAACTATTACCTTGCACAAGAAATGCTTGTCAGGGAGGAAGGGACAATTAAAGCTGAACCAACCTGGGTCTGGCTGTCTGATGCTGAGGATCCTATTGACAGCTTCACCTACCTTTTCGCTCCATGCCCAAAGTCCGGCTCCAAGGAAAGCAACTCCAGCCAACTGAGCAGGGGTGGGAGGTGGGGTGGGGGGAGGG